GTTGCTACTTCATAACTGTAATGTTGCTACTGTTATGAATCGTAATGTAAATATCTGATATGCAGGATGGTCTTAGGTGACCCCTGTGAAAGGGTCGTTCGACTGCCAAAGGAGTCGTGACCCACAGGTTGAGAACCGCTGCGGAAGGACTCATTTCATTCTCACAATTGCCTATAATTGCCTTGATTACCCCCATTTTACAGATAAGGAAACCGAAGCACAAGAAAGTCCCGTAACTTAACCTAAGTCCTGTACTATTGCTGGCCAAGCCAGAATTCTCCACCTAAGCAGGCTGACTTCGAGCCCCCGCTCAGAATGACCAAACAGTCTGTCCACTTGTTGGGCTTTCCCTCGGTGGGTCATGTCGATAATTGATTATAAGGTACAACATCAGCAAGAAAACGAGTCGAAAAGCTATGGTAGTTGCCCAGGGACAAAATGGTGAGGGTTTCAGCTGGGATATACCAGGGGCAGGGAATTATTGAGGACAGACTTAAGAGCTGGTAAGGATATCAGACAACTCAATGAAAGGGGGAAGGGTAGATTTTTAGACTAGGAGATGGGTGGCCTGGAAGTTAAGAGAGAGGAATGAGCTGAAGACATATCTCAGCCCAGCTGGTGTGGCTCAGTGATTGAGTGTCCACCCACGAACCAGGAGGTCGCCGGTTCGATTCCTGGTCAGGGCACATGGCCGGGTTCCCGGCTTGATCCCAGTAGTGGGCATACAGGAAGGCAGCTGATTGATGTTTCTCTCTCATCATTGTTTCTGTCTCTCCCTCTCCCTTTCTCTCTCTCTCTCTAAAAATCAATTTTAAGATAACATATTCTTTAAAAATATGTATATCTCAGACATGCACACATTCACGTAGAAATTCAGTGGCCAAGGAACAAATTCCTTCGGCTGGAGTGGGCCTCCACCAATAGGGGGCTTTGAGCCAGCCCCGAAGAACAGGAATGTTCTGAGAAGAGGGGATGTGAGGACAGAAGGAGTGGGAGGTGGGATGTCAGTGTGATCCCGGGGAGGAAACGGTAGTGAGGTGGGCAGGGATGGGTGTGGATACGAGTGGGAAGGTGATGGGGAAAAGCAGGAAACTTGGGATTGATTTTCGATGACTTTTTCTCCCTAAGTCTGACTTTTTTTAAAATGAAAGTCTTTATGTCATGTTTTAGACCGACGTTCAGAGTTGCTACCCCTTCCTCTACGCCTCCAAAGTAGTCTTAAAACCCACGTAACAGGAAGGTGTGTTCATTAAACTCTCTTGAATATCCTGCTGTCACAGCCCTGATAAAGACTTGTTCCTGGATACCTGAGCCACCCGGAGACCTCTCTCCTATGCGCGTTATCAGTGGGAACATTCAAAGGGAGCGAGGAAAGGTGGTGAGAGGCCGAGTCCTGATTAAAAACAAAGAAGCCGGACGGCATTTGTGTGCACAGGGCGGGTGGAGGGTCGGCTGGGGCTGCAGGATGAGGAAGCTGGTGGGAGCCTTCTGCTGGGGGAGGACACGTCTCGGGTGCCTTCTTTTCACGTGGGCCTCCTCTGGTTTTGAGGCTGGAGGGTTGGAGATCATCACAGCCCAGGGGGTGTGGGCCGTGACAGTAGCGACATTTACTCCCCGAAAGGCTGTCAGCCACACAGCTGTTGCCCGGTGTGTGCTTCACGGGCATGGAGTGGAGAAGCATAGGAGTGAGTCTAAAGTTCAGATTTGGAAGTAGATAGGCTTTCTCCTGAGCATCACCGAGCTGCTGAGGGAAAGCTTAACAAGCGAGCTTGCTCTCCCGTCGTTAGGGTAACACATGCCTGCCGCAACACGCTGGGGAAACAGAAGGAAGAAATGGGAGCACCCATAGCCTGATGATGGCTGTTCACCTTTTGACATGGTTTTGCCGATCTTACTTACGCTCTCTTTTCATTTGTTTTTGTACAGTTCTAATCCAGCCAGATATACAATTATTTATCGAGCTTTTCTGGTCTAATGTTATAAACATTTCTCCATTAAACTATGGACTTTGATATCATGTATCGCCCAGCCGGCGTGGCTCAGTAGTTGAGTGTCGACCTATGAAGCAGGAGGTCACATTTCGATTCCCGGTCAGGGCACATGCCCGGGTTGTGGGCTGGATCCCCAGTAGGGGGTGTGCAGGAGGCAGCCAATCCATGATACTCTCTCATCATTGATGTTTCTGCCTCTCTCTCCCTCTCCCTTCCTCTCTGAAATCAATAAAAATATACATATATTTTTAAATATCATGTTTCAAGCAAAATCTTTCCACCAGACTCTAGCTGGAGGAGAGGCAGCTGCTGGGGTGGGAGGCAGTAGGGTGGTTACATTACAAGCCCATATCTTGAGCCCTTTTAGGAACAGGTGAGCACTGGGGGTGGGGTGAGGCCATGCTGGCCCCGAGGAAATCCATCCGTTTCCCGCTGGCCTGATTTCGAGAGCACCGGACCCATCCAAGAGGGACTGGAAACTTAGAAAGCCCCGGCCTCCCGGAGGCTCCTGCAGGCCCTGGGACCGGTTAGCGGGAAGAGGCCTGGGCCTGCCGCAGGCGTGGGAGTGAGGCCGCTTGGGCCGCTCCACTGCTTCATGCAGAGAAGGGAGGACCTGAGAGGCTGCCATTTCCCCATCTGGGGTGATGGGCTCCCAAGTGACTCAAGCTCATTTAGTGACTCTCTCGAGGGCTATTTATAGCCTCTTACAGGCTAAGTAATCAGATGGTGGGAATTATAAGTAGCTCGCTGGCTCCAGGTTTAGGATTTTTTTTTTTTGCATATAAGTTAGTTTGTTAGTTAGTTATTATAGGTTGATGTATGTGATCTCAGAGGAGGAACATAGGTGCTTCTTGAAGAGCTGTTTACTGCCCAACCTGGGTATTACCTGCTCACTGTCTCTGAGACATGAACAAATAGCTTGTTTCCTTGCAGGGAAATGTGCTGTCGTTCAGAGGAGAGAGAGTTGTGTTTTGATTTTTGTTTTTAATCCTTACCCCCAGGATAGTTTTTCATTGATGAGAGAGAGAGACAGAGAGAGAGAGAGAGAGAGAAACATTGATGTGAGAAACATCAATCGGTTGCCTCTCACATGCATCCCGACCGGGGATCGAATCCATGACCCTTCAGTGCATGAGCCGACGCTCTGGCCATTGAGCCACACTGGCCAGAGCAGAAGAGTGTTGTTTGCTTCTCTGAGTAAAGTGCTTGAGTGTGGCACAAAAACAAAAACACCCACCGTAACAACAAAACAGTTTAATCATTTACATTCAGTGTGAGTTTATTGCAGTAGTTTTCTCTCCATTTGGCCTTTTTCCTCTCCTTCTTAATCTTACCTACGTTGTTTCAAGGTTGTCTTCAGCATGGCACCCGGAGAAAGCACACACTTCGGGAACAGGCCCACTTGGGTTCGAGTCCCGGCACACGCAATTACTGGTTGGGTTTTCTCGGCACTAATACGGAAGCAATGACCCTATCTCCTAGGGTAGCTGGGAGGAGTACAGGAGATGCGGGTCGTAAAGGACTGGAATTTAGACGGCTGGTCCTCGGTAAGCAGTGGTCAATATCGCTTCCCACCACTGCTGCTAGCTCGGACTCTGGGTCCGGTGGCCTCGTCTGGCCTGGCGTGTGGGGCCTGAAATGGTACCTGGGACCTGCGCTCAGAGACTCACAGGGAAGATAAAACAGCCAGCTTTCCCAGAGATTGATGGTTCTGAAGCTCATCGTTAGTGAATAAGGGTCTTAAATGCACACTTACTGGGCCATTTGCCCAAACGCAGTCTAGAGGCCCATCCATGCCTATAGAGTTGCTGGCAAAACAGCTTTCCCGTCCTTTTTTCAGAAATTCCGTGCAAACGCACTTGCTTTTGCTACCAGCAAGCGAGTGAGTACCCCAAGACTTTTAGCAAAGGTTTTGCAATCTCTTGAGGGGGAAGGTGCTATACGCTTCCCTCAAGTGTTCAAAAATAGGATCCGTGCCAGAATTGTTTTTTGGGGAGAGAGAAACTCCAACGGTGATCGCGTGGACTTAGATCATTTCCCACGTTGGTGATTTTCCCATTAACCCTGAGCATGTCCCTTTGCCTGCGGCCTCTTCCCAGAGCACTGCTGACCCACCCCGACGCGGTATGTGGGGGGGCAGTCCTGGCTGCGTTCCCAGGCAAAGTCCCCCTGCCCTCCAAGCCGTCCGTTTCCTCCCCGAGGTGTTTTTCCCCTGTGCTAATGTGTGCCTTCTATCGCTGGCGTGGGGCCGCTTGTCTTGCACCCAGGATGACAGAAAGGCTCCATCACTCCCTCCGGAGCGTTGGTCCAGGCCCGGCCAGGGAGCGCGGCCAGGGCCCAAAACCCACCCGGGCCAGCCCTGCTCGGGCCAGAGCACGTGGTCTCTGCCCCAGGTTTCCTGCGGTGTGTGTTTTAAACGTAACGGACGCCTTCAGCCCTGAGCTGTGTGAGTCCAGGCTCCGGTCAGTTCCCCATCAGAGTTGAGGAAGGGGCTCCTTCGTGCCTTTCCTCGTGTTATTTCTTAACCCATGAAATGAGTCGTTTCCGTGGTGAGCGGGGAGTAGCTAAGACCCTAGTTCCAAAGTGAGTCTTGGTCCCCCTCCTAGAGAAACGCTGCCCAGAGCCGTAAAGGGCCTTTGTTTGGAAGGAGTGCTTGGTGCAGGGTCAGGAGACGTGCTCTGCGGGTCCAGCAATGCAGATGGTGCCTGACCCTAAGCGCGGGTCATGTCATGAGCAAGCAGCCCCCGCTGGGCTGAGGCCCGAGGAATTCTGTGCAGCCAGCAGGACTGGACTCCACCGAGCAGCTGGCCGTCTAGGATTCACAAGTCGAATAACAATCCCTGAGCTTAACTTCCTGGGGCGCCTCGTCTGTTTGTCCTGAGTACGTCTCCCGGTCCTGGGGCCGGAGGCGGGGTGGGGTGGGGGCCATGCATATTGGCGTTGGCACGGTGCACCCTGGCTGCGAGCGCGTGCTGCCCTGGGCCACAGCGTGCTGTTTTCTCTTTCCAGCTTCCCATTGCAACGTCAGCTTGAAGAAGCAGAGGCACCGCAGCATCCTCAGCTCCTTCTTCTGCTGCTTCCGGGACTATAATGTGGAGGCCCCGCCCGCCAGCAGCCCCAGTGTGCTGCCGCCGCTGGTGGAGGAGAACGGCGGGCTGCCCAAGGTCAGTGCTGGGGGGACCGTGCACCCAGCCAAACCGCGAGGCTGCCTGTCGGTCACATCCTGGACAGACGTCCTTCCTAAGAGCCTAGCGCGGTGTGGGTGTAGCCATTTACTTAAAGATCCGAAGTTACCAAAAACGTCGTCTCTTTTGTTAAAGGATATCTCAGTCGTTCCCATGTAGCAACTGAAGAGTGTATTTGAAGAGAGCTGTAAGCGTCAGTGCACATTTTTATAACATTCTTGGTTGAATGTATTGAATGGAGAGTTAAAGGACGATGAGCAGACAGAGAAATGGAAAGACAAGAGGAGAAACCAAGTCATGGGAAAGAGCCGAGAATAAATATAAGTGGATTTCACTACCTTGTTTAATAACAAACATAGTTGTTAAATATTCTTTTATAGGTAGCACATAAACAATTGTAAGCCGATTGTCACCGTAGGTAAAAAAAAACAACAAAAAACAGATTCTCCCCACAGGCTGTCTACAGACATATTCAAAACAAAGTAACTCAGAATAATGAAAAGTAAAAGGATGAGCCAAAAAAAAAATCCCACAAGTATAAGCAAAATGAAAACAGGTTACAGTATCAATTCAGTCAAAAGAGAAGTTTGGGGTAAAAATCACGGAGGGAGGCAAAGGGGATTGCTCATGATGAAGATAGTCAAGCCTGAGGGCACAGAAGTCTTCAACCTTTATGTCCCAAATCACAGGAGCAAAGGACATGAACAGGTATGTCACCAAGTAAGTAATACTGTTGGTCAATAAGCAAAATACGTTTCAATATGGCCAGTAATCAAAGAAATACAAATTAAATGAGATCCTTTTTCATTATCAAAGATATTTTTAAAGATAATATTTGGGTTTGGTGTAGGGGTGGGAAGAGGGCGGGTAGAGGATATAAATTGGTTACTGGTAGGAGTGTTCATTGGTTACACCTTTCTGGAGGGACATTTGGGATCTGATCTTAAAAACCTTAAAGATATGCCTATGTGTTCCCCTAGGCAGCTCCAGCTTATGGACATCATTGTAGATGTGTAAAGAACACAAGATATGATCTAGAATACATCATAATATTGCAACATTGTAAGCAACCTAACGATCAACAGCAGACAATGAAAGATCTATAAGTAACCATACAATCAAATAGTATACGGCTATTAAAAAATGACGTCTCATAAATATTACTGATACAGGGAAATGTTCACAATATATCACTTCAGAAAAAAGGCCAAAATATAGTAGGTGACTATATTTATAGCTAGGTACCCAGTCATACGCACACAAAGGCATTTATAAGACTAGAATGATGTATGCCAACATGTGAAGAAGTTCTCTCAGTCTGGTGGGATTACATATAGGATTTGCTCCTCTCTTCTGTGTTTTATTTCTTTTCTTTTTTTCTTTTCCCAGTTCTCACAGAATAAGCTTAAATTAATTTTGTGATTAGAAAATGTATTATTTTTTAAATGCACGTGAATGTAAGGAAGGGGATTCTGGGAAGATGACAGCCGGAGCTCATGGCTCTGACCATTTAAATTCCCTGTTTGAATAAACCCAGGCGAGCCTACACTAAGGCCTGGGAAGTGCATTAACGCCTCCAGTTTTCCTGACATCTCCAGGGGAAAGAGCAGGCATGGGACTCGTTCTCTCTGGTACTCAGTGAGAAGCAGGGACCACCAACAGGGGAAATTGCTCACCTCTTTTGGAGTCCTAGAACAACGACATAAAATGTATAGTCCTGTGAGGTCAGCCACCCAGCAGGAGCCTGGGGGCCCACTGTGTGTGTGTAATCCTTGAAGGGGCTGTAACTGATGAGGTCTTTCTTCATCTCTCGGTGGTTTGTCAGTTTGGGCTTTGCTGGAGCATGGAAGCGTCAGTCCTTGCTGGGCCTTGGGGTGCTCCCTCATTTGCCGCCGCTGAGAAAGTCCAGGTTGAAAAATTAGACTATGAGACTCCTACGGAGGCAAAACTAATGGACGAAATAGAAGAGAACTTCAACAGAAACTCAGGAAATGACATTTCAGGGACTGGATCTTAAGTGCAAAAGTAACTTTTAGAACTTAAAAAACATCCCATGATTTCTAAATATAAAAATTCAGTAAACAAACTGAGAAAAAAGGGAGAATGAGAATGGTCACTGCTGAGAACTGAATTAATGTTCTGGGAGAGCAAATGGAAGAAATATCTTACGATTCAGACCAGAAACACAGAGATGGTAATTGGGGGAGGCTGGAGGGGCCATCTAGGAGACCTAACGTGCAAATAGTAGGACTTGCAGAAAGAGAAAAAGTAATAGAAGAAATTTTTCTTGAGCTGAAAATAATTTTAATTTGCAGATTAAAAGGGTACCAAATCTACAGGAGGGTTAGTGGGGGCAAGCGAGGGAACACAGGCCTAGATACATGCTAGACTTCTCAGCAACACTGAAAGCCACAAGACTATGAAAAGTGTTTATAAGCTACCGAGAGAAAAGAATTATAAACCAAAAATTCTATATGTGATCAAGATTATCATCTATGAAGGAAAAAGATATACATTTCAGGCATACCATGATTCAGAGAGGGGATCAAAACAAATCTGGGTGAGATTGATGTTATTACAATACTAGAGACCTGGTGCATGGATTCATGCACCAGTAGGGTCCCTTGGCCTCCTGTGCCCTCTCCAATCCGGGACCCCTCAGGGAATGTCGGATAGCCGGTTTCGGCCCGATCCCCGCAGGCCCGATCCAGACAGGAGGGAGCCCGATCCTGTGCGTTGAGGGTCTGTCTCCTGGTGGTCAGTGCTTGTCATAGCGACTGGTCGACCAATCGTTCGGTCGCTCAGGCTTTTATATATAAAGATGATTATAGAAAAATGTCAGAATAAATGTAACTATTGGGAACAGAACTAATCTAACAAGTAGCACAATTAGAAAATAGATCCTCAAAGTTCACTGAGAGTGAAAGGAGAAATAAACAGAAATGTGAACAAGCCATCAAAATTAAGGAAAGGGAAAAGGAGCCAATAACATAACAAATAGTAAACCTAACATAAAGAGTAGGTATCAAACCAAGTTTAACAAACCAAACTCTCCTGATGAAAGACCAAGACTATATCAGATGGGCTTGAAAAATTCTGCAGTATGTTTCCAAGAATATACCTATATCAGATGGGAATGATTTTGGCAGCAAGTAAAAGAAAACTGACAAATAATAGCTTAGACAGATAGGGGGCTGTTTTTGTCAGATAAAAAGCCTGAGGCTGGTCACTGCTCCGGTTAGTTTAAGTGCCTGATGAGGCCATCCGGGACCCTCACTCTTTCTGTCCTTTTGTCTTTTCGTCTTTCTGTTCCACCGTCCTTGGCATGATTGCCTCTACCCTCCTGCTTGTAGCTCATTATCTCAAAGCATGAGCTTCAGCCATCGTATCCGCATTGAGAGGAAAAGCAGAGGGAGGAGTAGTCTAGCCATGTCTGTCCCTTTTATGGAAAGTAACAGCTTTCACAGAAAAACCCAGGAGACTTCTGCTAGGTCTGATGGGCCAGAATGTTGTCATGTGGCTACCCTCCAGCAGCAAGGGAGGCCCGAAAGGGGGGAATTTAGACCGGCAAAAAGAATTTATTTATTTTTTAATATATTTTTATTGATTTCAGAGAAGAAGGGAGAGGGAGAGAGAGATAGAAGCATCAATGATAGGAGAGAATCACTGATGGGCTGCCTCCTGCACACCCCCTACTGTGGATCGAACTTGCAACCGGGGCATGTGCTCTTGACCAGAATCGAACCTGGAACCCTTCAGTCTGCAGGCCAATGCTCTGTCCACTGAGCCAAACCGGCTGGGGCCCAGCAAAAAGAATTTAGACAAACAAAACTGGAGCTCTTTTCACAAAAGAGAAAAAAGGAGTGACTACCGAGTAGATGTACTTACTAGTCAGTGAGGGTTCAGTTATGCTGCAGTAACATCCCCCCAAACCCCAGAGGCTTAAAATAATTGAAAAATTATTTTTTTTCTCATGCTGCATGTTTATTATGGAATAGCTGGGCCTTCTGCTCTGTGGCACAATTCAGTCAAAATATGATGTGAGCCACATATAATTTAAATTTGTCTAGTAGCCCCATTTTAAAAAATTATATATACATATCTATAATAATAAAAGCATAATATGCTAATTAGACCAGACAGCTGAATGACCTTCCGGATGAAGCCAGGGCTGCGAGGGCCAAGGCAAGCCACCATGGCTGCGAGGGCCCAACCCCTTGCACAAATTTCATGCATCGGGCCTCTAGTATATATATAAATTGATTTCAGAGAGAGGAAGGGAGGGGGAGAGAGGGATAGAAACATCAGTGATGAGAGAGAATCATTGATTGACTGCCTCCTTCACGCCCCTTACTGGGGATCGAGCTGGCAACCTTGGCATGTGCCCTGACCGGGAATCAAACCATGACCTCCTGATTCACAGGTCAACACTCAACCACTGAGCCACATCAGCCAGACCAAAATATTTTTAAGATAAATTAATTTTTTTAAGGTTCTTTTTCTTTTTTCTTTCTTTTAATATATTTTTATTGATTTCAGAGAGGAAGGGAGAAGGAGAGAGAGCTAGAAACATCAATGATGAGAGAGAATCATTGATTGGCTGCCTCCTGCATGTCCCCTACTGGGGATCGAGCCCTAAACCCGGGCATGTGCCCTTGACCCAAATCGAACCTGGGGACCTTTCAGTCTGCAGGCCGACACTCTATCCACTGAGCCAAACCAGCCAGGGCAAGATAAATTAATTTGAATAATATATTTTATTTAACACAGTATAGTCAAAATATAATTTTAACATGTAATTAACAGAAAAAAATTATCAGTGAGACAAAATTTACATTTCTTTATCTTATAGTCCTTCAAAATCTGGTGCACTTTACATTTATAGCACATCTGGATTTGAACCAGCCACATTTTACGTGCTCGATAGCCTCCCGTGACTAATAACTATCATTATTGGATTGTATTACGCTATCTGATCCTCAGTCATGGACCCTAGACGGAGGCAGGCCCATCTCTGCTTCCATGATTGTCACAGCAGGGAAAAGGGGGGATGGTGCTCACACTGGCTCTTGCAGTTTTCACTCAGAAGTAACATGCCTTGTTCCTACGGGTTAAACACTGAACTAAGACAATAATGTGGTGGCTAAGAATGTGGGGCTTAGCTTGTGGCCTCGCCATAACGATTCCTACTCATGTGACCTTAAGCCCATTGCTGTAACTATAAAACAAGATATAATAAATGTTTGTTATGTCATTATTTTCTTTAAAAGGTAGTTGTTTGTTATGTCATTATTTTCTTTAAAAGGTAGTAACATGCCTCATTTCAGCTTACATTTTATTGGCCAAGGCAATGCTAGGGGGATAGAAATGTCATCCTACCGTGTGCCCAGAAAGAGAACTGGAATTATTTGGTGAACTGTGCTAATGGCTATGACAGGGGGTGGCTAACCGTTTCTGACCTGATATCTAACATACCGTGATTTTTTTTAAAAGGTGGAAAATAAAGAGATGGGCAAAACGTACAGAGCAGATCAAATAAAAAGCAAAAGTGGCAATGTTAATATCAGAGAAAACAGAATTTAAGGCCAAAAGCATTAAATGGGAGAAAACGGAACATTTTATAATGATAAAATGTCTGATACAGGAAGTGTATAATAGCCATAAATCTTTATATACCAATCAATAGTACAGCCAAATACATAGAAAAAAGGCATTTAAATGTGATTTTTTTTTAAAAAAATCTTCTAAAAATAAACAGTAAACAACATGGGAAAGTCATTGGCAGTTTCTGACTGATATAATAAGACAAGAAAATAAAACAATTGGTACAAATATGGAAAAGATACAAAATTAGTTTTATTTGCAGATGACATGGTTATTTACATGGAAAACCCAAAACACTACAAAAAAAAATGGAGTCATTAAAAGATTTCAATATGGTAGCTCTATTTATGGAGAAATGTGTTTCTGGATAGGAAGACTTAAAATTTATAAAGAAGGAAATGTCTAAGAGTAGCTAGAGAATTTGGGGGAGAGAGAATAATGAAGGATGACTTGCCTTGACAGATATTAAACCTTACTCTCCATTGGTAGAAAAATATATGAGTGAAATTTGAGCAGTGACATTCTACTGTAAACTGTATCACAGCCCCAGGTTCTGATATCATCTCCCCAGACTCTTCCCTCCCCCCAATTTAAAAATTATTTCTGTAGAAAATTGTCCTTAGTGAAGGGAACATAGTTTGTACCCTAGACCTATAGAGGGGGAAAAAAGAAAAGAAAGGAATCGCTGCTGTCATAGTAAAAATTATTTTAGAATAGTTCCTGCCCAGATGCAATGACCTGGGAAGATGGTGCAGCATCCCCGAAGGTTTCCGACAGTATTCGGCTGTGTGTACCCGTGAGGAGAGGCCTTTAAAGGCAGGTCTCTGGCACAGCTGAGCTCCCCTGGACTTGGTGTTCATTCATGGGCTTCCCTCAGTTTCCATTTGTCCGAATGGCTTTTTAAAGAATGAAGTTGCCCTGACCGGTTTGGCTCAGTGGGTAGAGCGTCGGCCTGCGGACTGAAGGGTCCCGGGTTCGATTCCCGTCAGGGGCATGTACCTTGGGGGTCCCGGGTTCAATTCCAGTCAAGGGCATGTACCTTGGTTGCGGGCACATCCCCAGTCCGGGGTATGCAGGAGGCAGCTGATCGATGTTTATCTCTCATCGATGTTTCTAACTCTCTATCTGCCTCCCTTCCTCTCTGTGAAAAATCAATAAAATATATTTAAAAAAAATAAAAATAAAATAAAGAATGAAGTTAACTCTGAGCAATGCATCATTGGCATAACACTCGAGTTTTCCGTCGGAGACCAGACCCCATAGAAAGAGCCCAGGTTAGAGTGGGACCAGCTAATTCCCAGAGCGGGAGCCCTCTGCCCTTTGCTCTCCGCACGGTCAGGACACCTGGAACACACAGCCCGGGCCCAGGAGATGTGGAAGCAGATTCTAGGCCTGTCTCTTCTGCTGACTCCTTAGCTCCCCGTGCCTCGTGGAACTCAGCATTCCAGAGGCAGAGGGAAGGCTGTGGACAGAGCGCAACAAGCAGATGGCCTCTGTGGAGAAATGCTTTGGTGGGAGTGGCCTGGGGTGGCAGCCATTGCCACATCCAGTTACACCCTGGACCTGCAGGCCAGTGGCCCAAAGGTAGTGTCTGCAGCCCCTGGCCAGAGGCTAGGACGGATCAGCACCTAGAAGAAGACCAATAGCAGAGACCAAGGAGGACTTCTAAGGGTGAGGACAAAGTGAGCGAGGTTTCTGGACACTCACTATTACGTGCATACCCCATGTGCACGTACACACACACACACACACACACATACACACACACACACACACACATAAACTTCTGGGGTGATTTTCAAGCCCAGACATCTGTCTAGAGTAGCGCCTTTGGTCATAGCCTGTGTTTTGTCAAGCCCTTCAGAGTTATCTTGCTTCACTGATGTGCTCGCCTCATGGAAGGGGTGCCTGTGTGGGAGCTGTGCACAGTCTCCCTCTGGTGCAGGGTCTCAGTGGCGGTGGTTTTGCCCCCTGGGGAACATTTGGCAATGTCTGGGGACATGTTTGATGGTCACTACTGGAGGTCCTACTGGTATCTAGTGGGTAGAGGTCAGGGATGCTGTTAAGCATCCACAACATCCAAGACAGCCCCCCAGGGCAGAGTTCTCAGGCCCAGAATGTCAGCAGTGCTGGGGTTGAGAAACCCTGCTCCAGGCTCACCCAGCTTGTGAGGGCTTGTGAGCAGCCGGTTCAAATCGCCCAAGTCCAGCTGCTGGAAATAGTACGATTTAAGAGCTGCTGAAATGACCTTCTCTATATAGGTTCTTGCAAACTGGGCTTTGCTTCGATGGCGCCCGCTGTGTGTTGAAGAGCAGCACAGCTCTGCTTTGAATAATGGCAAGAGGCCGTTTAGAATCCTTAAGACAAGCCCCGAGTGTCCTGAAGCAGGGAAGAGCCATCCAGATGATCTCAAGAGGAAACGGTAGTCGCTGTTAGACTGCAGAGGGGACGACTGGGGTCTGGAGACAATCAGGAAGTTGCTAAATGGTTCTGAGAGTCAGAGCAGAGCTCAGGAAGGTGCCAGCCACCTGCCACTGTCGACAGTCAGGTTTGGCCCCTTTCCGTGAGCCCCCCATCACCAGACCCCCCCTTCATAAAAGATGGCTACGCTTTTCACAAAGCGCTTAGTGTGTGGGAGACCGTGAAACAGAGCACGCCCTTATCGGGAACCCCGCTGCTGCTATCTGTTGGCTCCTATCCCACCATCTAAAAAAGAAGAAGCACAGAACGTGGAAAAGCTCAATGGAGATAAATTTCTTCTTTTATCAGCATTTCTTATTGATGCCAAAATGAAGTGTTTCCATCAGCCGTGTGTGGAATGGGGGAGGGGCATTCACGGCTGAGGAAATGATTGAGGCTCTTTCTTGGGGCCTGAATTTTCTTTTTCTTTACTCTGTTTTTATTGATTTTTAGAAAGAGAGGACGGGAGAGGGAGAAGGGAGAGAGAGAGAGAGAGAGAGAGAGAGAGAGAGGGGATGTGAGAGCAGCACATGGATCAGCTGCCTCCTACACGCCCCCTACGGGGGATCCAGTCCACAGCCCGGGCATGTGCCCTGACCAGGAACCAACGACCTCTTTGTTCATGGGTTGACACTCAACCACTGAGCCACAGCAGCCAGTCCAGGGCCTGGATTTTCTTGACACCCCCTGAGAATACAGGTCCTGTCCCCTTAAAGGGAAAGCTGTCCCATGTCTGTGGCCTCGGAAGGCACTTCTTGTACCTCGCCTTGACCTCCTGTCCGGTCCTCCCTAGAAGAGGACCAGGAGTGGCCAGGGAGTTCCTTGTAATCTGATGAACTTGTCTTCCTTTCCCTGCCCACTGTGTAGACTGAAGGCTTAGTCTTCTCAGGGAAAAACTTAACTTAAAAGAAGAAACAAGCCAGTTATTAGAGGGAGTCATGGATCAAAGTAGTGTATGGGTTTTCATTTTTAAATTTCAATTAAGGATTAAATTTCTGGGAGTACGAGAGGCACTATTCAAGTAAACAAGATGAGTAATGAGCCTCAGGAACCCAGCCTGGATTGTCAGGGGAGGGGGTGTCTGGGAGGCAGAGACCCTAACTGTGGAAATCGTTGGGTTCCTCCCTCGCGCTAAATACCGCCAAGGTACCGAGGATGGGAAGTCATGTGCCTGCTGTACACTCAGAAGTGCTTTCAAGTTTCTTTTGAGTATATGTTCTACTTCTCTTCAAACCTGACAATGACTTTTTTTTTTCTTTTTCCTCAGGGTGACCAGAGGCAGGTCATTCCCATACCAAGTGTATGTATTATTTATTCAATTTTATTTAAACATTCGTAGAGTCTTGCAGCTGTGGGCCTACTAGTATAAAATGTTCTTGCTTATGTTGCGTTTTATCATGTCATATAGCCAACTCTGTTCTGTTAAAAAGTGAAATGAGGCTACATTTTCTTAAATATGTTTTTATTGATTTTTAGAGAGAACAGGAGAGGGAGAGAGAGATAGAAACATTGATGAGAAAGAAACATCTATTGGCTGCCTCCTACACACCCCCCACTGGGGACCGAGGCTGCAACCCAAGCATGTGCCCTTACCAGGAATTGAACTGTGACCTCCTGGTTCATAGGTCAACACTCAACCACACCAGCGGGGCCACAAATTGATATTTTAATCCAAAAAATTCTCTTCTTCAAATTGTCTGATTCAAATTGGTTCTCTATTTTTCCTTGGACTTTTTGATCTATTTTCTGTGACCATACAAGAGACATAGCAGTCCTACATTTGCAAGGAATGGATTTCATTAGCACGGGCTGACTCTACACTTGGTAATGCATGTCACTTGCAAATTGCCCAAGAGATGTCTGATAATTTCATTTTTCTCAGAACTTTAACTCTCCATGTATTAACAAGCTGCAAGGGTCTGTGGAGTGGTTCAGACTTTGCCAGCAAACCTGGGGGTTGGGCTTTGTTGGGAAAACTGATCAAAACGTTTGGTGAGGCAGCACGACTTCTTCTGCAACGTTGAGTAGGATTCAGATCTGTTCATCTATCTTTCCGTGGATTTTTTTCGCATATTTTCAATCCCCAGTGAGATTCAGAACCTTCATACCAAGTAGTGTCATGTACTGTGTTCTTCCTGCACAGGTTCCTACATTACACAGGTGACAGGGGCACCTCTCCCCCTCCCTTGGACACTCCAGTAGCGCTCTTTCTCCTCAAAGCTCATTCACTGTTGTCTGTAAAGTTAGCACTGGTCGGGGTAAAAACTACTGAGAAAGATGGCCCTCTACCCACACACCGAGACTCATTCTGGAATCCTGGAATAAAAAATCCAAGAGGGAAAAGATTCCTTGTGTAACGGAGCCCCGTGCAGGGTCACTAACCTGCTGGCTGCCTCTTACATCTGCACACTGGGGCCGGCCTTAGGGATCTGCGAGCTGTCGTGCAGAAAACCGAAGCCTCGCTCGAGGAACTTGCTCCTTTGAGTGATAACCTCCAGAAAAGCAGTTCTACTGAGGGGCATGTGTGGTCTCTCCACAGCCAACTTTATATGCAGAACTGAGCCACGTCCATCTGAAGGCCAGCTCAGCCCGGGGATTCGGGCCTGAGGCTCCCCTGCAAAATGTGCACCCACCTGTCAGGGCCGCAGGCCGCACACCCAGAGTAGCTCTTCTGAAACACAGGGGGACCTGGTCGGTCCTGGGAGCCCCTGAGAGCTTGGGGTGCTGTGCCACAGGCCCAGAAAGCCAGGCTGGGACTGAGCCCACAAAGCAGGTCCCTCGGCCTCCTGAAAGCTTTTTCCAGGCCCTGAATATGGAAGATACACCCGAGTAGTTCCAGCAGGGGTCCCCTGACTCAGCTTCTCGCCCCTCTTTTTTCATTCTCAGGCTTTTCTGTGTCTATGTGCAGGTTTGGCGTTTTGACTTTTCACAAAGCAATAAATGCAAGCTCATGGTTTAAAAAAAAATACTGCCCAGCTGGCGTGGCTCGGTGGTTAAGCGTCAACCTATGAACCAGGAGATCACCGTTTGATTCCCAGTCAGGGCACATGCCCAGGTTGTAGGCTCGATCCCCAGTAGGGGGCATGCAGGAGGCAGCCAATCAATCATTCTCTCTCATCATTGATGTTTCTCCCTCTCTCCCGCTCCCTTCCTCTCTCTGAAATTAATAAAATCGTATTTTTTTTAAAAAGAAGAATGAAAGCAACTATAGAGTTAACTATTCGTGGCTGCAAGTTCACCAGGACAGGAAATTTCAGGTCGACTCCAAGGGAGAGAATTCCCAAACTATTGATGATAAGTCACGGTCCCTTCCTCCTCCCCATACAGCCACATGCTTTCTGTTCCACCACCACCACCACCACCCATCCTCACCCCCTTTCATCCCCCCGGCAATACTCCTCTTGATAGAACTGGTGTTTCTCTTGTTCAGCTTTATGTTGGCCTGAGAGAAAATTTGCTTCAGGACATTTTTTTAGTTAATGATTCAGGCATTACCTGAACAGATCAATTGAAGCAACAAAGCACTATTGCCTGTATGCAGTGCCCTTGCCTGCTCCAAGGACACAGCTGTCCGCAGGAATTCTGACCCGTGGTCTGGAGGGTTTGCTGCACCCAAAGCCGCGCTCCCAGAGGAGCTGTGTGCCCTTGGGAGATGGGCTAAGGATTGATGGGATCCCCCAGCCCGTTGCCCATCCCTACCCCCACCCCCCCCCGCCAGGCCTTGTTCTCTGCAATATGCTAAGTCAGCCCTAACCAGTTTGGCTCAGTGAATAGAGCATCGGCCTGCGGACTGAAGGGTCCCAGGTTCGATTCCGGTCAAGGGCATGTACCTTGGTTG